TGAAGTTATTTATTACACCATATTGTTTAGGTAATAACAAGAAGTAAAATTGTACCATTTCATCACCATAGAACTGATATTTTTAAAACATTTTTGATATGTAGTTGGATGAATTTGCAGATACAACACTCATGGATACAGAGAGCCAACCTGATGGTATAACAAATTTGTGAGAGTAACAGTGGGCATATGTCAGTTCTGCTACAAAAATACCAACCACATAATACTCTGAACATTTTACCTCTCCTTAGCCTTCTATTACCTATCAGATTCTACCTGCAGCCCCAGAACTAGATGGGAAAATAAACAAATCAAACTCCTTATGTTATTCCTGGCATGCCCCAAATTCTGGCTGGCTTCTCGCTTGTAGACATCTACAGGTTTGATTTATTCCAGATATACCATTCTTTGAACTAAACCATCACAGTGAAATCACAAGGTATTATAGAAAGTTGGAGTTCTGCTACACATGACTTCAAAAGTCAACTTTAAAGATAGTACTTATTGTTTGTGTGTGTGTAATTTTAGGGCTGATCAGTTTATATTGGATAACCAACAGACTCAGTAGATTGTATTTATATAATTGTGCATCTATGTATTATGTAACAATAATAAAGAATAAGAAACTAGTGTGAAAGAGAGTGAGGGGGCACAGGAGGAGTTGGGAGGAGCAAAGAGAAGGGGGAGGTGATGTCATTGTATTTTACTTAAAATTGCGGTACTGGGGCTTGAACCTAGAACCCTACTCATGCTATGCAAGTGCTGGACCACTGAGATATATTCTAACCCATTTTAATACCCCTTTTTGAGACACATCTCACTAAGTTTTCCAGTCTGGTCTTGGACTTACTCTGTAGTTCATACAGGCTTTGAATTTGTAGTCCTCCTGTTGTCTGGGGTAACTAGGATTACAGGCTTCAACCACCTGGCCTAACTCAAGTGTCAGCTTAATGGATTTTGTTTATTCATTCTATTGCTTTATTTTTTATCTTTTGAACATCTTTATATCTGCAAAATAACTGTAAGTACTGTATCAAAGTGAATTATCCATAGGCAAATCCCGAATTCACCTTTACTGATGGTATTTGACCTCCTTTGTTGAACTATTCATTCATCTGTTTTGCTTGATTTACTGGCTGAATCTTTCATTGGCCCTGCCAATGAAAATTGGCATTTACTAAGGAAACATTGTACAATACAAACATTGAACCAAATGACTGCTTTAGTGGCTGTTTAATGTTAGGTAGCTCAGTTTAGCTGGGTTGTTCCATGTCAGTGGGCTACTGGAAAGGATTTTTAAGGTCCCTGTGGGGAAACAGACATTTTTCCAGCTACTCCTTTGTTGGGTCTTCTCCTATGTTATTATTTTGTTCTAATGAATTCTCAGCACAATAGGTGCACACATCTGAAACTATGAATACAGGATGCATTCCAAAGCCAAACATAAATTGCTTTTGGACTTCCTATACTTTTCTTTCTATAATTTGTGTGGTTAATAGAGTTGTTGGAAGTGGGTATTTTAAATCACATTTGGAATGAAACATAATCACAGGGACAGAAAGAAGGACAGGATTCTGTCACAAATTCTTTGGCTTTCTTTCAGAGGTATCCACCACATGGGTCCCCCAGACATTTGATTTGTTTTCCTCTTTTGTATCTCATACTGGAATCAAACTCTGGGTCCTCCTGCCTGGTTTTCCTAAGTGCTGGAATGAATGATTTGCACCAGGATGCCTGGCTTCATTTAATAAATTTAAATTGAGAGAGAAATTGAGTTACTTTGTTAGCCTGATTTTTTTCTTTTCATCAGCTAAAACAGCCTTTGTTTCCAGTTGAGGGTTTTAGAAATCTAGAGAACCCTACTAATTGAGATTGAGGATGTTTTTGTAGGTTCATTGAAAATATCAAATTCTACAATCAATCAACCATTAATTATAAATACTGATGTCATTTCATTTAAAAGGAACATTGTTGTCAGGGTGGAAAGAGGGCAGGCATCATGCCTTTTGGGGATTTTATGATTTGTGTGTAGATTAATATTTTTACTGCTTTTTAAAAAAATTCTTGTTGAATTTGAAGTGGCAACAACAAAAGTATCATGTGGCATTCTTAGGAAGTTACCAATGGGGCTTGAGGAAGAGATACAGAAGTTCTGTAGCTACAGATTTAATATCTTTTGTCAAAAATGCTTGAGAATAATAGAGCATGGTGGTATATGGCTGTATTCTCACTACTTTTGAGACTGAGGAAGGATAATTACAGGTTAAAAACCAGCCTGAGCTACAGAGTGAGAACTCTGTCTTAAAAACAACAACATATAAACAGAAATGTTTGGGACCAGAAGTTTTCAGATTTTGAAATATTTGAATATGTAGTAAGATATCTTTGAGCTAAGCCTCAAGTCTAAATATGATACTAATTTGTATTATATGTGGATTTTACATAGTTCAGAGGTCATTTTCTACAATGTCTTAGTACACCTCAGTTTGACTGCAACCAGCAGAGGAGACCTGATGTGGGATTTCCATTGCTAGAATCTTGTTGCAACTCAAAATGCTTCACATTTTGAAGCACTTCACATGTAAAATTTTTGGATCAGAAATAGTCAATGTCCAGTAGGTTTCTTTAAAGAATTAGCTAAGGTAAATGAAATTCAGGCTGAGAAGCATCTTTTATTTCAGACAGATGGGAGCTGAGATCTAGTTTAGAGTACAGGGGTTGTTTATTTTCTTTTTTGAAAGTTTTTGTTTCTAGAGGAAACCTGTGCATGTAGCTGCCCTAGGTTAGAGAATCAAGCCCAAGTGATGTGAGAAGGTATGTGGCTTGGGATTTTGGAGTCTATACATACATGCATGTAACAACTATTAATGAAAAAAAGAGGCCATAAATTTTAAGGAGGGCAAGGTGAAGCCAGCATGAAGAAATTCCTACTGAACACATTTTGGAAAATTTGAACATGAAAATACAGCAAAGGCCGGGCGTTGGTGGTGCATGCCTTTAATCCCAGCACTCGGGAGGCAGAGACAGGGGAATCTCTGTGAGTTCGAGACCAGCCTGGTCTACAAGAGCTAGTTCCAGGACAGCCTCCAAAGCCACAGAGAAACTCTGTCTCGAAAAAACCAAAAAAAAAAAAAAATGACAGCAATGGATTATGACACATTGATTAAATAAGTATTCTACTTACATGTAAATACATAATGATTAAATTAAATATTTTATGAGAAAGAGTTTGTTAGTACCAAAATACCACATCAGAAAATAATCACTGTTACAAACTGACATTCTTTTGTTGTACCTCTTGGTAGAGGCCTAATCCCAGTACTTACAAATTAGAGGCAGAAAGTTCAGGAGTTCAAGGTTATCTTCAGCTACATAGTAAGTTTGAGGCTAGCCTGAGCTAAGACATTCTATCATAAAAAGTGGGAGATTGCCTACAAAACAATTTTAAACTATAATCTTCAAAACTGTCAAGACCGTGAACTTCAAGAAAGGGCCCAAGAAACCATCACACATGGGTACCTTTTTGTCACTTTTTTGGTAAGTTTATAGTTTTTTTTAACATTTTAGAGACAGTCTTTAATCCAGGCTTCCCTGGAAATCATGGCAATCCTCCTGTCCCCATCCCCCGAAGTGTTTAGTTTATATGTATAAACCACATCATTTGGGTTATTTTTCCTAATTTTGAAACCCTCTAAAGGTTGGTTAAAATTACAGAAATGGGAACAAATTAGCAATTAATGAAGAAATACTTGTTTGAAGAAATCCACTGGAGTCAAATTCAGAGCAAATACAGAAAAACACAGCTATCAGAGAAAAACAGAAGCCAGATATTGTAGTTCAGTCATAGCATGTGTGAAGTTCTGAATTCTACCTTTAGCATCATGCCTGCCCCCAAATACTGATGGAGAGAAAGGTTCAGCACCAAATTTTGCAGAAAGGGGTGTGTTCTAGAGGAACAGAATCAATACAATGAATAATATGCATTTAAAGGGGATTTATTAGATTGGCTTACAGGGCAAAGTCTGGTTAGTCCAATAATGGCTGTCTCACATCTGACAGGCTAAGAATCTGGTATTTGCTCAGTCCAGGAGGCTAAGCTGGTATCTCAGGAGTTCCAGTCTGGCTTTGAAAGCCTGGGGAATTCCTGGAGAGCTACTGGTCTTTAGTCTATGTCTGAAGAAGCTGGGTCCAGTATGAAGTAATGAGCAGTTGAAACATCAGAACAGATGAACTTGTCAGCCACAGTGAAGGCAAACAGACAAAAAGCCAAATTTTCTTTTTCCATGTCCTAATGTGGGCTGCTACCAGAGGGTACCACCCACACTTAGGGTGAATTTTCCAACTTCAAATAATCTTAGCAAGAAAATTCCTCACAGAACTGCCCAGAGGCTTGTCTTTTAGTTGATTCTAGGTCCAGATCAAATTGACAACCAAGATAACAATGGTTAATGATGTGTAACAGGGAATGTGGTTTATAACAGGAGAAGTCATGATTTAAGCCATCACCCTTGATTGTAGCAGTGGTATGTATTTTTTTTAATTTCTGTTTAGATTTTATGTCTTATGTTATCTGTGTGAGTGATTTGTCTGCATGTGTGTACATGTACCTCATCCATGCTTGGTTCCCACACAGGTGAGAAGGCATTGGCTCCCCTGAAACTAGAGGAATAGATGGTTGTGAACCACCATGTGGGTGCTAAAAACCTAACTGAGGTCCTCTGCAAGCATCAGTGTTCTTACCCACATAGTGATCTGTCCAGCCCTAACTGTTATATATTGTGTGTACCTGTCTGTGGGCCTGTCTGCTGCAAATTAAATAGTAGTGAGTTTATAATGCATAGTGTGAGCACTTTGAGAAATAATAGGCTTCGAAAGTGAAATAAGCCCTGAAGTTGGCAATTTTACCATGCAATTATTTGTATTTACCACAATGAAAAAGAAAAATATGTCAGGGGCTTATTGTGCATTGTGATGATCCCAGTGTTTGTCTTTCTACACAGGAGCCATGGATAACAGAGGCTTTCAGCAGGGGAGTTTTAGTAGCTTCCAGAGCAGCTCTAGTGATGAAGACTTGATGGACATCCCAGGGACTGCTATGGATTTCTCCATGAGAGATGATGTGCCTCCTTTAGATCGAGAAATAGAAGGTATCATTCTTGCTAGTTTTAAAAATAGTTGTAATTTGTAAACAGCAGGCACACAACCTTGCAACTTTTAATATATTGTTGTAACTAACACCAATGATGGGATATGGAATTGTTTTGACCCCTAGAAAAATTCCTTCTTGCTATTCCTTTGCTTTTAGACCTCTGTCCTCCCTAGTCTTTGATATCACTGATCTTTTCTTTTGAGGATATATTACTAATGGAATGGGGGTATGGAGAGGGTGGGGCATGCATGGGCCATGGTGTGCATATATAGAGAGGGCAAAGGATGACTTGACAGAGGATAACTTATACAGTTCTTCTCTCACATCATGTAGGTTCTATGGATAGAACTCCATTGTGTAAATGTACCACATTTTCTTTATCCATTCTACTGTGGAGGTCCATCTAGGTTGTTTCAGTTTCTGGCTATTATAAATAGAGAAGCAATGAACATAGTTGAGCAAGTGTCTTTGTGGTAAGATGAAGCATCCTTTGGGTATATGCCCCAGAGTAGTATTGCTGGATTTTGAGGTAGACAGATTCCAGTTTTCCTGAGGAGTCACCACATTGATTTCCACAGTGGCTGCATGAGTTTTCATTCCCACAAGCAATAGAGGAGTGTTCCTCTAGCTCTGCATCCTCGTCAGCATTACCTATCACTTGTGGTTTTGATCTTAGCCATTCTGACAGGTAAAAGATGGAATCTCAGAGTTATTTTGATTTGTATTTCCCTGATGGCTAAGGATGTTGAGCATTTCATTAAGTGCTACTCACCCATTTGAGATTCTTCTGTTGTGAACTCTGTTTATATCTGTACCCCATTTTCCTCCATTTTTTATTTAAATTAGAAACAAGATTGTTTTACATGTCAATCCAAGTTCCCTCTCCCTCCCCTTCTCCCCTGCTCCCCACTATCACCCTACCTATCCCATACCCTTTTTGCTCCCCAGGGAGGGTGAGGTCTTCCATGGGGGGTCTTCAGGGTCTGTCCTATCCTTTGGGATAGGACCTAGGCCAACCCCCATGTGTCTAGGCTGAGGGAGTATCGCTCTATATGAAATGGGCTCCCAAAGTCCATTCCTATGCTAGGGATAAGTACTGATCCACTACAAGAGGCCCCATAGATTTCCAAAGTCTCCTCACTGACATATTCATGGGGTCTGGATGAGTCCCATGCTGGTTTCCCAGCTATCAGTCTGGGGGCCAAGAGCCCCCGCCTTGTTCAAGTCAGCTGTTTATGTGGGTTTCCCCAGCCTGGTCTTGTCCACTTTGTTCATCACTCTTCCTCCTCTGCAACTGGATTCCAGTTCAATTCAGTGTTTAGCTGTTGGTATTTGCTTCTACTTCCATCAGCTGCTGGATGAAGGCTCTAGGATGGCAAAAAAAAATCTCATTATCAGGGGAGGGCATTTAAGGTAGCCTCTCCACTGTTGCTTAGATTGTTAGTTGGTATCATCCTTGTGGATCTCTGGACATTTCCCTAGTGCCTGATTTCTCTTTAAACCTATACTGGCTCCCTCTCTGATGGTATCTCTTATCTTGCTCTCCTCTATTCTTCTCCCTACACAACCTTCAAGAAGCTAGTTTCCAAAACATCAGATAATCCAATTAAAAAGTGGGGTACAGAACTAATAGAGAATTCTCAACAGAGGAATCTAAAATGGTTGAAAGACACATAAGAAAGCGCCAACATCCTTAGCCATCAAGGAAATGCAAGTCAAAACAACTCTGAGATACCATCTCACTCTAGTTAGAATGGCTAAAATCAAAAACACCAATGATAACTTATGCTGGAGAGGATGTGGAGAGAGGAGAACAGTCTTCCACCACTGGTGGAAATGCAAACTTGTACAGCCACTTTGGAAATCAGTATGGCGATTCCTCAGGAAAATGGGAATCAGTCTACCACAAGATCCAGCAATCCCTCTGTACCCCATTTTTAAATTGGATTATTTTGTTTTTGATATCTAGTTTATTTATTTCTGAGTTCTTTGTAAATGTGTATATTAGTCCTCTATTGATGTGAAGTTGGTAAAAAAGATATTTTCCCTTTCTGCAGGCTGCCATTTTGTCCTATTGACAGTATATTTTGCCTTACATAAGCTTTTCAATTTCATGAGGTCCATTTATTAATTATTGATCTTAGCACCTGTGCTATCTGTGTTCTGTTCAGGAAGTTGTCTCCTGTGCCAATGAGTTCAACACCATTTGTCACTTTCTCTTCTATTAGGTTTAGTGTATCTGGTTTTGTGTTGTAGTGATATATTACTTATGATTTAATAAAGTTTGCCTGAGGATTCAAAAAGCAAAATCACCCCAAAATTATAGAAGTCAGGCAGTGGCAACACCCCTTTAATCTCAGCAGCCAGAAGCTAGGAGGTGTTGGTACATACCTTTAATTCTAGGACTCAGGAGTAAAAGATAGACGGATCTCTTTAAGTTCAAGGCCACTCAGGGATACACCCTGGGATACAGTAACAGATCACATGTCTTTAATCACAGCACTAGAGGGCTATAAAAGATAGAAGCAAGATCTTCAGTAGAGTGGAGTCATTCGTTTTCTGGCCACACTGAGAAGAGGCAGCAGTTTGAGACTTGGTAAAGAGCTTGTGCATGTATCAGCCCTTTTAACCTTAGGTGAGTGCTAGTGACTGGCTGCTGTGCTTTTCTGATATTGATGCTTGAAGTTTGAACCCCGATATCAGTCTCTGGGTCTTTTATTTATTCATGTTAGATTAAGTCAAGTTTTTTGATCCACTTGAACTTGAATTTTATACAGAATGAGGTCAATTTGCATCTAGTTTGACCAGCACCATAAGATGCTGTCTCTTTCCAGTGTGTATTTCTGGCTTCTTTATCAAAAATCATGTGTCTGTAGGTGTAAGGGTGTGTCTCAGTCTTCAGTTTGATTCCATTGATGAATGTCTCTGTTTCTATACCAATTCCATGCTGTTTTTATTAATATAGTTTTTTAGTACAACTTGAAATCAGGGATGGTGACACCTAGCTGTCCTGGTTTTCTGAGTGTCTGTGTTTTCATATAAAGTTGAGAATTGTACTTTCAAGATTTTGGAAGAATTGTGTTGGAATTTTGACAGGGACTCCATTGAATCTGTTGATTGTTTTTAGTAAGATAGTTTAAAGTTGTTAATCTGGATTTTATCTCTCTCTGCCTTTTAGTTTGTTTGGATAAGGGTTTGTCAATCTTACTGATTTTTCTCAAAGAGCCAACTTTGTTTCATTGATTCTTTTATTTTGCTTGTTGTTTGCTTTTATTAATTTCAGCCCCAAGTTTGATTATTTCTTGCTGTTTACTCATTTTGGGTGTGATTTCTTCTTTTTGTTACAGAACTTTCAGGTGTGTTAAGCTGCTAGTATGCAGTCTCCCAGATTTTAGTTTTGTTTTGCTTTGTAGGCACTAGTGCTATGAATTTGCCTCTTAAAACCACTTTTGTTGTGTCCCACAAGTTTGGGTATGCTGTGTATTCATTTTCATTCAATTCTAGAAAGTCTTAAATTTTTCTCTTAACTTATATATTGACCCATTTTTCATCCAGTAGAGAGTTGTTCAGTTTCCATGATTTTGTAAGCTTCCTGTTGTTTCTCTTGTTGTTGATTTACAGCTTTAATCTGTGGTGGTCAGGTAGAATGAAGGGAGTTATTTCAATTTTCTTGTATCTCTTGAGACTTGCATGTGGTCAATTTTGGAGAATGTTCCATGAAGTTTAGAGAAGGTGTATTCTTTTGTGTTTGGGTGAAATGTTCTGTTAATATCTGTTAGGTCCGTTTGGTTTGTAACATGAGTTACCACTGGCATTTCTCTGTTTAGTTTCTGTCTATGTGACCTGTCTATTGGAGAGAGTTGGGTATTGAAGTCTCCCATTCTTAGTGTATGAGGAGCAATATGTGATTTAAGCTGTTTCTTTTACAAACTTGGATACTCTTGTATTAGTGGCATAGAGTTAAGAATTGCAATATCAGCCAGGTGTTGGTGGTTCATGCCTTTAATCCCAGCACTCAGGAGGCAGAGGCAGGTGGATCTCTGTGAGTTCGAGGCCAGCCTGGTCTACAGAGAGAGTTCCAGGACAATCTCCAAAGCAATACAGAGAAACCCTGTCTCAGAAAAAAAAAGAATTGCATTGTCCTCTTGGATTTTTCCTTTGATTGGTATGTAGTGTCCTTAGCTATGTCTTCTAATTAGTTTTGGTTTGAAGTTCATTTTGTCATAAATTAAAATGGCTTCACCAGATTCTTAGCTACTTTTGCTTGGAATATCCTATTCCTTTTTTTAACCTTGAGGTGATGTCTATCCTTGATGTTATGGTGTGTTTCTAGTCTTTGTCTTTTTATTGGGGAAGTAGGAGTATTGATGCTGAGAAATATCAATGACCAATTGATTCCTATTTGTTATTGTTGTTGTTGGTGTGTGTGTGTGTGTGTGTGTGTGTGTGTGTGTGTTTTCCTTTTAACTTTGCTGCTCTGGGATTATTTATTCCCTGTGTTTTCTTGGATGTAATTAACCTCTTTAGATTGGAGTTTACCTTCTAACACCTTCTGTAGTACTAGATTTGTAGATAGGTACTGCCTTAATTTCATTTTGTTTTGGAATGTCTTATGTTATCTATGGTGATTGAAATTTTTGCTGGGTGTAGTAGTCTGGGCTTGCATCTCTGATCTCTTAGAGTCTGTAGCACATCTGTCTAGGACATTTTGGTTTATAGAGTCTCCATTAAGAAGTTAGGTATAATTTTAATAGGTCCGCCTTTATGTGTTACTTGGTCTTTTTCCTTTTCTCTTTTCATATTCTTTCTTTGCTCTGTATGTCTAGTGCTTTGATTATTGTGGGTCAATGGGGACTTATCTGGACAAATCTTTAGTTTTCTATATGCTTCTTATGCTTTGATAGGCATTTCCTTCTTTAGATTAGAGAAATTTTGTTCTGTGATTTTGATGAAAATGTTTTCTGGTCTTTTTGAGCTGTGTTTCTCCTTCCTCTATGC